GAAAACCATCTTTAAACTTAAACCCATAAATTGCTTCACAGCAAGAGGGAAGTTCTTAGATGACTTAAAGCTTGAAAGATGCAGGAGTGGTTGTGAAAGGAACAGACCACCAGGAAAAACACACCAGTATGCTTTTATTTATTACTTTTCTTCTTACTCGTGCTGCTTCGGGTTGCGATAGGTGAACGTGTAAAGGGTGCTGCTCCAGTCTTGGTTTTCAGAGCACTCTTCAGGTACTTAAAGATGGCATGTAAGCAGCAGGAAGGTGCCAAGCCATACTTTTCAGTTCCAGCAGAGACAGTAGGACAGTTCACTTTCATAAGGGACCCCACAGGTTTATCAAGGGGCTTATTGCTTGATACCCATTCCTGGCAATGCTTTTGCATCCATTCTTGTATTTGTGGATCGCTTCCAGCCTGGTGCTGAGTATTGTGCATGGAGTCGATGAACGCCGCAGCGAACACTTTACTCATCACCTCCCATTTTCTCTGCACGAGCAGATCAATGAACACCAAGCCGCCGTAGCCATGGGCAATGAAGGCCACCTTCTTGGCTGCACTCTTTGAAATAAAGTGATCCCACACGTACATGGTATGCTCCTCAGGGCTGCTGCTGCACCGCTTGAGGATTGACCTGAGGGACTCCATGGAAGATGATGATTCTTGCCTCTTGAAAACACTTAACCTCTCCTCTTCTGTCTTAAGATGCAAGAAGTTATCATTGGGATTGAGTACAATCACTTCGAACTGGCTTTGAAGGGCAGTTTTGATGAAGGGTATCTGTGTACCATGCTCCAGGCCCTCATTGATAATGGTCTTTTGCCCCCACTGTCCAGCACGAAAGACTCCACAGTCCTGAAGAAGGACAGTTAGGCTAGAGGTGCTTGTTAGTGCTTTCTCACTCATGAAAAAGAAACTTCTCGGTTCATCTTCTGTAGCATTAGTAGGAATATAAACTTTTTGCAGCATGCATGCTCTTTCCAGGAGCTCATAAACATACTGGGTAAGTGCATGTCCCAATACTTGATAGCGTTTATGATTCCTCTCGTGTGCATTCTTGTAGTAATTGAAAACAAAGGACTCATTGGTGTCCAGATGCCTCAATTCCCCTTTCATATTGAAGTCGTAGTTTAGTTGTTCTTCATACTCTGAACCCTCTAGCAGTTTCCTTAAGCTTAGTTTGTGCTCCATTTGTGACCGCTACAAATCAAGAGGATATGTGTCAATATAGTGATAGACCTTTGTACAACTGCATAAAGAAAACATGTTAGGCATCCAATCGTAAAATGATGACACATAAAGTATTCGTAGACACAAATGATCTTTTAGTGGTCTGTAACAAGCCAGCTGTTTGAAAAGTCTCTCACACATGCTAGTTACTAAATTACAACTGTGTTACATTATTAAAAGTACTTCCAGTTATTCTTTCAACCCTCCCAGAGCTTGCCACATGGACATCATGGAGGGAATCACCGAATAAACTAGCCACAGTTTGAAACACTGTTGCAATATAAGTGTTATTCTTTATGGGCTTTGCCCGGTAAGAAGGCCTTCTCTGTTCCAGCTGCAAAACCCAGCTATATGTTCTCCTGTAAAACTTTTAATTATCGTAGATGCAAAGTTTTGCCACAGGGATTGTAGAAAACTTCTCTCTCTAAAAAATAAACTGAAGTTGCTTCAGGTTTTATTCTTTAAAATATTTTTCTTGGTTCCTTCCACAAGTCTCTGTGATTTTTCCCCATTCCCCTGCCATTTCTCGACTTCTGTTTCGGCTCCGTTCTAGGAGATTCACAAATCCTTTTGTTGCCGCTCGTGCTCAGAGCGGGGGCGGCACCCGCGGGAGCCGCGCGCGCGGCCGTTGCGCGGCCGTTGCGCGGCCGTTGCGCGGCGG